GGACAATATACAGCCTTGTCGTACTCCTTTCCCAATTTTGAACCAATCAGTTGTTCCATATCCAGTTCTAACTGTTGCTTCTTGTCCCACATATAAGTTTCTCAGGAGATAAATAAGGTGTTGAGGCACTCCCGTTTCTTTAAGGACTTGCCATAGTTTGCTGTGGTCCACATAGTCAAAGGCTTTTGCATAGTCAATGAAGCAGAAGTAGATGTTTTTTCTGGAACTCTCTGGCTTTCTCTATAATCCAGCGCATGTTTGTAATTTGGTCTCTAGTTCCTCTGCCCCTTCGGAATCCAGCTTGTACTTCCGGGAGTTCTCGGTCCACATACTGCTGAAGCCTACCTTGGAGGATTTTGAGCATAACCTTGCTAGCGTGTGAAATGAGTGCAATTGTACGGTAGTTGGAGCATTCTTTGGCACTGCCCTTCTTGGGGATTGGTATGTAGACTGATCTTTTCCAGTCCTCTGGCCACTGTTGAGTTTTCCATACTTGCTGGCATATTGAATGTAGCACCTTAACAGCATCATCTTTTAAGATTTTAAATAGTTCAACTGGAATGTCATCACCTCCACTGGCCTTGTTGTTAGCCAAGCTTTCTAAGGCCCACTTGACTTCACTCTCCAGGATGTCTGGCTCAAGGTCAGCAACTACATTGCCTGGGTTGTCCGGGATATCCAAATCTTTCTGATTTAATTCCGCTGTGTATTCTTGCCACCTCTTCTTGATGTCTTCTGCTTCTGTTAGGTCCCTCCCATTCTTTAGCAAAGGCTAAAGTGAATTTAGTCTTTGCTAAATCTATCTTTTGCATTTTTTTCTGTTTTTCTATTATCATACTTGTTCAACAATAGAAACCCCAGCTCCTTTTTCTTCTGTTCTATTGTTTTCCCCTATCCCCAACGGTTTTCCCCCCTTTTTATTTTCTTTTGTTTTATGGCCCCGTGGGGCTTTAAGAAGTGCTCCGTTTGTCTTAGGCAAATTCCACTTACAGACAGGCACGACCTCTGTTTATTTTGTCTGGGGGAACCCCATCACACCCAGTCGTGCACCAGGTGCAGGAGTTTTTCCAAGCAGGCTATTAGCTACAATTCCAGCAACTGAGATCCTTTCTCTACGAGAGAGATCTAAATCCTACCATGGAGGTTACAACCCTCCCTTCTTCAAACCCTCCTCAACAGAAGGCTGCTAAATCAGCTACTAGCCCCATTGACCACTCTTTATCCAGCATGACTTCTTTACCTGCTAAATCCAGGAACTCTAAAAAACCGCCCAAGCCAGCTTCTACCAAGGCTCAACCGTGGCCGATTAATCCTGCAAGTAAGAAAAAGGACAAAGAGAAGCCTAAGAGGCAAAAGGACTTAGCCAAACCGGCTGCTGCACCTCTTTCCATACCTCCTATACCAGTGCAGGATTCTTCGAGGGATGATATTTGGCTTTCCGACAGGGAGGAACGTGCCATATCTCCAGCCCAACAAGCTCATGACATTCTGAGCATGGCTCCAAGTTCGGGCCAATTTGGGGCTGTTGCACTGTCCAGCCCGGCCGCAGCCCCTTTCAGCCCTCGATCCTCAGGATGGGCTCCTCCGTGCACTCCTAGAAAAAGAAAGGAGAAACACAAACATGCCTCTCCGTACCAGCCTTCCGGGCTTGAAGAGCAATATTACCATCCAGAGGGTCTGCCTTAATACAGTATGGTGATCAATATCCTGACTGGTACCATCCCTATCCATCCCAAGGCTATGGCTACCATGACCAATACAGAGGGTCCGGCTACCTGCTACCACCCTGGTACCCTTCCGTAGCCCCTCTAATGCAAACATCGTTGCAATACCAAGGGGGTCTTTCCACCCCGCAAGCTGCACCATCCCAAAAGAGAGTGATGATGCTGGTGCCTTCCACATCTCCTAAGCGACTCAAGCTTCACAGGAGCCGATCCTCAGTACAGGTCACCACGCTTTACTCCGGTCCTCATGATCATGATACGGAACCTTTCTCTGTATTTACCCAATCAGATGCTGACCCTATACTGCCAGCCCCGGTACCGCGGCCACCACCATTGACTTCTCAGTCGTCTTATGGTGCCAACTCATCCTCATCTGATTAATCCGAGGCTCCTGATGCAGGTGCCACTGGCAATCTTCCGCAGTCACCTTTAGAGGACTATACGTCATATGCGCAACTTATCTTGCGCATGGCTAAGACATTGAAACTTGATGCACAGATTCCACAACAAGAAATGGACTTAGTCTTCCATGATATGGAGCAGGACAGAATGCCTCCTAGTTTAAGCCTTCTACCAGCACTCCTTACTCTGGTTAAAAACTCTTGGGATAGGTCGCCTTCAACTCTCCAAATCCCACGAAAGATTGAACACAGCTACAAAACTCTTGGATTGGATTCGGATTTTCTGGTTAAACATCCGATACCTAACCATCGTGGTCGAGGCTACTCAATACAAATCTTGCAGCAGGTCTTCTACCACACCTGTGAATAGAGAGGGCAGAAAAATCAACTCCTTTGGGATAAAATTTTACTCATTGGCGGCACTTCTAATCAGAGTTTCAAACGACCAGGCTGCAGTGGGTGCTTACCAAAACATCTGTGGGACAGAATTCTTCCCACACTTCAAACGCTTTCAGAACCATTAAAGACTGAAGCTCTTAATATCTATGCAGAGGCCAATACCCTCGATAAGCAGCAAAGACAGATGGCGAAGCATACTGCTGACACTGCCTCCAAATCTCTGCTTACCTCAATAGCACTCAGACGACATATCTGGCTTAGGGCAGTGAACATCCTAGATGATACCAAGACCAAAATCAAAGACCTTCCCTTCGATGCTGTGGGGCTGTTCAACTCTAAAACAGATGACATAATGGAGAACATCCATAAAATGAGGAAGACAGCTAAGTCTTACATCCCATACCAGCCCTATCAGTATCAGAAATCATCTTACAAGAAATTGCTCTACCAACTCCCTCAGTACCAGTCCTTTCAGTACAGCAAGCAACAGCAACATGAGCAGGCCTACCAGCCGATTCAACCCAATACGATGCAACCCAAGCAGCAGCAATATCTGGGCTCCAGACAGCCTTTTCACAAATCCTAACGTAGGGGTAAGCCCTATTCTTAATTGCCCTGGTAATTCTACCAGACTCCACCCATTCCTTCCCCAATGGAGGAAGATTACAACAGACAAATGGGGTTTGGCCATCATTGAACGGGGGTACACATTAGAATTTTCGCAACCCCCACCATCAAACTCCATCAAGCCCACCCCCTTCTCCTTACCTTTACAAGAGGAAATTTCAGCTGTCCTCAGGAAAGGGGCAATAGTCATAGTTCCACCTTCTGACTCTAACAAGGGTTTCTTCTCTTGATACTTTGCAGTCCCTAAGAAGGATGGGGGTATCAGACCCACCATGGACCTCCGACAGCTCAACGAATTCATACTTTACCCAAAAAAATCCGTACGCTAACTCTCGATTCCATTCTCCCTCTTCTATCACAGGGAAACTGGTTTACTACCATCGACCTGAAGGATGCTTATTTTCATAT